TGGCTGGGGTGATGGGCGGGTCCTCGGTGCTCCCTCTGGCTGGGGCAGTGGGCAGGTCCTTAGTGCTCCCTGTGGCTGGGGCAGTGGGCGGGTCCTTAGTGCTCCCTGTGGCTGGGACGATTGGCCGGTCCGCGGTGCTCCCTCTGGCTGGGGCCGTGGGTGGTTCCTCCGTGCTCCCTCTGGCTGGGACAATTGGCTGGTCCTCGGTGCTCTCTCTGGCTGGAGCGATGGGTGAGTCCTTGCTCCTCCCTCCTGCTGTGTGGAAGGCCGGGTCCTGAGTGCTCCCTCTCGCTCTCCAGCAGGGTGGGCCAGCGGGGCGGTGGGCTCTCCATGTCAGCGGCCCGCAGCGAGCACGAGGTGTCTGAGATCATCGACGGCCTATCTGAGCAGGAGGTGAGTCTTCGCTGCAGCCCTCTCCATGGCTGCTGAGGCCTGAGGCGGTGGTCCTCTCGCAGGGGTTCCTGGTGGGCAGCTCATGTGGACTGAGGGTGTCTCCCACCTCTTCTACAGCTGGTCCCAGAGGCCCACTTCCCCTGGACCTGGCTGCGTGAGAAGGCAGCCAGTGGGGGCCGCGGGGAGGTTGAAGGAGTGTCTGTGGGGGTAGGTTGGAAAGAGAATAGGGCAGAAACTTGACCTGAGCCAGCAGGAGGCCAACCTGCTTTCCCCCAGGAGAGTAGAGAGGGGCCCGCAGGGGAATGCTCAGCCCTCAGAGCACACGTGGGTATGGACGAGACCAGAGGCGGCTGGGAGGGCAGAGCCCAGTCCTGCTGGGAGAAGTCGCCTGGGAGCATGTCTGCACTCCACCATTGTGTCCCTGGAGGCCCCAGGCTGGACAGGGAGCGTGCGGGTTTCAAGGACTTGCTCCAGACGAGCTGGGAGACCTTGCAGATGCTTCTCCTAGCTGGGCCAGAGCTGTGGCTTCCCTCACTCCCTGGTGGGGGGTTCTGACCACAGACGCTTCAGGAGGGGCCCGGGAGGCGGCAGCTGAGGGTGGAGCTGGCTGACCTTGGCCGGGCCAAGTGCGGCACCTGCCTCCAGAGGTGGTTAATTAATCGGCCTTAATGGCCCGATGCACAGAGTTGGAGAGGCGAGCCTGGCCCAGTGGCAGCTCCAGGCCTCTGAATGGCTGTCCAGATGCATTAGTCGGGCCCACGAGCTCCAAGCCTCTGAATGGCCATCGGGACGCACTAGTGGGGCCCACTGGCTCCAAGCTTCTGAATGGTCGTCCGGACGCACTAGTGGGGCCCACGAGCTGCAAACCTCTGAATGGCCGTCTGGACGCACTAGTGGGGCCCACCAGCTCCAGGCCTCTGAATGGCCGTCCGGATGCATTAGTCAGGCCCACGAGCTCCAAGCCTCTGAATGGCCATCGGGACGCACTAGTGGGGCCCACCGGCTCCAAGCTTCTGAATGGCCGTCCGGACACACTAGTGGGGCCCACCGGCTCCAAGCCTCTGAATGGCCATCGGGACGCACTAGTGGGGCCCACCGGCTCCAAGCTTCTGAATGGCCGTCCGGACGCACTAGTGGGGCCCACGAGCTCCAAGCCTCTGAATGGCCATCAGGACGCACTAGTGGGGCCCACCGGCTCCAAGCTTCTGAATGGCCGTCCGGACGCACTAGTGGGGCCCACCGGCTCCAAGCTTCTGAATGGCCGTCCGGACGCACTAGTGGGGCCCACCGGCTCCAAGCCTCTGAATGGCCATC